TACAAACATTCATTAAATGTAAATTACAGACATTCATTAACTGGTGCCTGTGCAGTATAGAGGGGATTAAATGGTATGCTGGAATCACTACTGTTGAACTTTGGGAAAAAACTAACCTGTGGAAGAAGATATGAAGAAAATATATGCCAGCGTTGGATAGGACACATGCTGAGAAAAAATGAGAACAATATAACTAGAATTTCTTTTGCACTGGAACCCTCAGGGTCATAGAAATACAAGCAGACCAAATAAGCGCATGGAGAAGGAAGCTAGAGGGGGATGTTAAAAAGATGGGGAGGACATGGAGAGAGTTGCATGTAGTAGTAAAGGATAGAATGACTTGGCATGAGTTGGTTGAGTACCTCTGCTCCACTGAAGTATAGAAGGCAGAAGGAGAAGAAGAATTCTTTGCTTGACTACATATTCCCCCTGTGTGGGTTCCGAGGCCCCATTGTAGGGGAAAACAAGAATAGACCCACTGCCTACCCAAAAGCATGTCGTAAGAGTCAACTAATTGGGGAGCTTCCTTTGAAGTCGGAGTGCATCTGCCGGAGAGGCAAGGAACCAACAGTCTGTATTCAAGAGAATGAGATCTGTAAAACTGATGCACATGCTACACTCAGGTTCTGGAGCAGGACTGCAGTTCAGTAGTGGACGAACAACCAGAACTTTCCGCCAGAGTGTACAGCTGGTGAACGTGAAGAAGAAGAAGACTACATATTCAGTCAGTGACTCTAGTAGTTTATCGTCATCAGGTATCATTTTCACATTGAAGTTTGAGTTTCCAATCTCCTGGTCTTAAGTCTTCATTGTAGATACAGAAGTTTCATATCATCAATATTCTTGTGTTATCTGCCCAAATGTAACATTGTTTTCCATTTGCACTCAACCCATGTAAGTTATCTTCTTCTTCTCCATTCACACTTAAAAGGCTGGTTGGCACTTCATGTTATGGTTTACCACTAGGCTGTACTGTCTACTGTTTGGACCACCACATCTTATTTTAGTAAACTCCTGATTAATTGTCTTTTATGACATGCTTGTTGGAGGACAATGAGCCTGTTCTCTCCCCCCCCACCCCTAATACAGTCCTAGAACCCGCACAAAAGGTAGTGAATCTGTTCTTATCTCCCCAAAAAATGGATCCTCACAACCCACATAAGCAGCAGTGGGTTTATCCCCACAACCCACATAAGCAGCAGTGGGTTTATCCCCACAACCCACGTGAGCAGCAGTGGGTTTATCCCCACAACCCATGTGAGCAGCAGTGGGTTTATCCCCACAACCCACGTGAGCAGCAGTGGGTTTATCCCCACAACCCACATGAAGGGAAACAGTTGTAACACACAGACGTGTTGAACCTTTTGTAAGTATCAATCCTTTGTTTGACCAGGCACCACAACTGCTGTCCCCACCAGTGAGAGAGAGAGACTGGTAGTTTCTAGATCATTCTAGCATTCATACAGAGAAATCTATCTTTACCTCAGTTTCAGGAACAGTAAAAGCTTTCATAACATGTCACCTCTAGCACTAGTTTTATTTATTTCAAAAACTACTGCAAATTGATTGGCACTCATAGATACAGAAGAAAGAAGTAGAAACAAGAGGATACAATAGACCAGTGATGTCACACTGAGTGTCCCCCGAGGCCCACACGAATCACATTATTTTAATCATCAGGGCAATACATGACAACTAATTGAAGTCATTTAATAAAAATTATTGCAGAATATTTCCTTTGTGCGGGCTGAACAGTTATAGTTACCCTGCCAGGAGTCAAACCTGTCACCTTCGTACGACTATGCCACCCAGCATTGTGTGTTCTACCACAAGTGTCCTTAGCACAGAATTGCTTGAGAACCTTTGTAGACTGGAAACAAATTTTATGTGGCTGTAAATTTCATGATGGGTGGGGCTGGCCGCAGACATTTTAAATGTTTAACCACCTCCCTGAACAAACAACTACCTGAAACAAAGCTTAGCCATCCGGTTTTAATTCACTTAGTAAAATAATTTATGTGCGCAGGCTGTTGCATGCAACATCTGCCAAATTGTAACTCACATGTCGTGTGTTGAGACTGACTAATGGGGTCGTGTGTGGTTGATGCTAAACAGCTTCAACAGATGTCTTTGATTGTGTTATCTTGACACAGCATATGTTCTCAATGTCACGGCACTTCTCTTTAGTCTGACTGTTGAAGTAGGTAGCAGACACTCTAGTCTAGTGGTCTCCAAATTGGTGGAGGGGGGGGGGGGCGACACTTCCCTAGAGAAGGCGTGAGGAAGTTTCAAGAGGAACGTCAAGCAGTTTGGAAATTTAGTTCATTCTTACTTAAAAATCCACAGTTTCAGCTTTAGCAATCATGTAACTTTACCGAACATGAAATTTACCAATCATGAACTTTAACAATCATGAAACACAAAACAGCATTGCCAGCTTGATGGCAGATATCATCAAGACAAAACAGTGAAAATGGCAGATATCATCCTTGAGCCTTGAAAGCCAGTGAAAATGGCCAATGTCAGACAAAACAAAATGGCAGATATCATCAAGACAAAACAGTGAAAATGGCAGATATCATCAAGACAAAACAGTGAAAATGGCAGATAAAATTAAGACAAAACAGTGAAAATGGCAGATATCATCAAGACAGTGAAAACAGTAAAAATGAGGGGAGAGGGGGGGGGGGGGGGGGGGTGAAAATGGTAACTTGTCATTTACCTGAAAAAGTCTGCAGACTACTGCTGTAGTTGATGCTCAATAAGTAATTAGCATAAGAAAATGACAAATGAAATCTATTTAGCATATCAGTAAAAGAGGTAGAATAAAGAAATTTGGGAGTATACAGCACACCCGCTGGGCTGTGAATGATAATACACGAAATACCAGCTGCTTTAAATTTAAAATGATAAAAATAACAGAAGAATTGGGACCACCAGTGTTTACCAACTGAAGTAGTGTCATTCATCAGTTAATCATTTTATGATCAAACTTACTTTGTGCCAATAATCAGTTTATGCCTAGTGTTAGGGTACATATTATTTGTTTCATGCCAATAATGAATGTGCACCAGTAATCATCCTGCCATGGATATATCTGAGGAGAAAGGCTATGGGTTGGAGAAGAGATCAGGAGAAATAAAAGGTCATAAGTTAAAAAGTCGACACAGAACCAGTTCAGTATTACAAACTTGTTACTTGTTGTCCATATCCACATCCTAGCACTTCAGTTTTATCCATTAACTCTTTGAGTCCCAGGGGGTTTAGCATCAGAGGCCCAAGGGGTAATCAAGACAGACGTAAAATCGGCGCATCTTGCGTTCATTGGGCCTCTAAGTAGGAACTTATGAGCGTATGATGTGTTCCTTGTGACTCAAAGAGTTAATGCTCCGTCCTCCAATTTAGCAGCCATCTCAATGTCTTCATGCTCAATTCACCTAGCAGGATTTGATTGGCTTATGTTCTTGCTTTGCTCCGCAACCAGTTTCTTTAAGCTCATCCTTGTTTAATACTAATTTAAAACAGCGATTCACCATTGCTAACTCCTTTGTTTCAGAATCTCAAGAATGCAGTGCATTTAGTATGCCTTGTCCATACTTCTTTCTACATCAGCCACAGCAGAAACAGCCAGTCTATCAGCTCTTTCATTTCCTTGCACTCCCACCCCTGGAATGTCCCTGTGTGTACAGCCCAGATAATTTCCTGAGGCAAGACTTCTGTTCAGTCATTATCTGATTGATGAAAATTTCATACAGAGGCAGCAAACCAAATGAGAGAAAATGTTAGAGAGAATGCCTTGTAACGCCATACCATACAAGACAAACCAAATGAGAGAAAATGTTAGAGAGAATGCCTTGTAACGCCATACAATACAAATCAAACCAAATGAGAGAAAATGTTAGAGAGAATGCCTTGTAACGCCATCCCATACAAGGCAAACCTAATGAGAGAAAATGTTAGAGAGAATACCTTTTAACGCCATACCATACAAGGCATACTCCAAAAGAGGAGAAGGACATAGAGCACAACGTAGACCAAGAACAAGATGGGAAGATAACATCAGGGAAACTCAACAACAGCACGGCATGATGTGTCTATTGTGGAGGCGGCCAGAAGAGTAAGAATAAGAACCTTAAAGCCCCTGTGTGGGTTCCAGGGCCCCATTGTGGGGAAAACAAGAATAGACCCACTGCCTCCCTAAAAGCATGTCGTAAGAGTCGACTAATTGGGGAGCTTCCTATGAAGTCGGAGTGCATCTGCCGGAGAGGCAAAGAACCAAGTCTGTATTCAAGAGAATGATATCTGTAAAACTGATGCACACGCAACACTCAGGTTCTGGAGCAGGACTGCAGTTCAGTAGTGGACGAGCAACCAGAACTTTCCGCCAGTGTACAGCTGGTGAACGCGAAGAAGAACCTAGAAGTCTCCCTCGACACCCGAAGTGATAAAAGAGGAATCAGCTTTCTGCATTCATTATTTTATTCTGTATGTGATATTTTTATGCCATTTATAATTATGCTGACTACAACATTATACCCTGAATCACTTGATCATCATCAGGTGCCTTGCCGACTGGCATGGGCAATCATGCTGCCTCTCCACAATCTGCAATCTCCTGCAGCATGTATCAGTTCATGTGCCGACACACCTCCATGCCATGCAACAAGACTGTCAAGAATCTTCTCTCGTTGTCTTCCTCTATCCCTCCTTCCACAGATCATTCCAGTGGTAACAACATGTTCTATTTTCCTTCTTCTCATAACATGGCTAAAAAATTATGACTGTCTCCTTCTGATGTCTGTGATAAGTTGTCTTCGGGCTCCCATCTTTTCAAAGTCTCTTGGTTGCTCTTTTTGGCTGTCTAAGGTATTCTAAGCATTCTTCTGTAAAAACTACATCTCTGAGGCCTCAAGAAATTGAATCACTTCATACCATATGTAATTTGTATTATGTAATACTTCATACCTCACCTAATCATCAACTGCATTATCCCAGGAACAATGACTCGAACTGCTTCCACCGAGTCCCAGGTTGGTCCAGGCTCCTACTACTACTTTGACAGCAACACAATACCTCGTGCTCAAGCCAAAAAGTATGACTTCCCCTGGGATTCCCTGCCCAAAGATTGGACAACATCAGTAAAACTGAGGGCGATATCAAAACGCCGTAAGGAAGACAGACAAAGCTCTTCAGGTTGGTTACTTGTGAATCCTCTGTAAGACTCTTAACTCTTTGAGTCCCAGGGGGTTTAGCATCACAGGCCCAGGGGTGTGTACTCTGGCTTTTGCCAGGGGCCGCAATATAGGCAGGCCATCAATATGGCCAGATGTCTGAACGCGGTTTCTGGGACCTCTCCACGGCGATCCTCATCCGCATGGTGGCACTTTGTGTCATCGGGTGTTTATCGCTTGTGTGATGTCCTGGTGGGGTAGAAAGTCAATCAATCAATCACAGGCCCAGGTGGTAGTAAAGAAAGTAATAAAATTGGCGCATCATGTGTTCATTGGGCTTCTAGGTAGGAACCTATGAATGTATGATGCGTTACTTGGGACTCAAAGAGTTAAGTTGTGAATCCTCTGTGTTTAACTCTTCTGGTTGCTCTTCTTTTCTCTACTCCTAGAATGCCTTGAAGCATCAGGGCATGAAGCGATCTGTGGAACGGGCCCATCTGTTCACTTCATATATAGTAATCCAATATTTCTGCAGTCCGTATCTGCATGGTTTTGACCTTTGGTTCTGTTACCGGTGTATCTGTAAAAAGGTAAAGTCAGGAGATGTGAACCAGCGTCATTGCACACGGTTATAAACCATAAGTGCTCTGCCACTAGTATGGACAGCTGATAAGAAACTGTCCAACTATGTTGCCGTCCGCACGCAACTCTAGCTAACTACGTCGCCGACCGCACGCAACTCTAGCTACAGAGACGTACCTCCATTTACCCCAGAGTATTAAATCTGGTACCTGTTACCTAAAGGTTGTGTGAACCCCAGGAACCGCCCCGTTTCGAACACCGGCTGTGGGCTGCAGCAAGTCACAGTTGGATTTGAAAGTGCATCTCCTATTGACTTCGCTAATGTGGCCCTGTATCTGTATAACATTGATCTCTGTGGGTGCCCTGTCTGTTGCCAATCTTGTTACATGACTAATCCATTTGATCTGCTGTCTACCAAAAAAGTTTAAAATTTTTTCTGTGCCGACTCTTCTCCTGAAATTGTCAGTTCTCTGTAAAATCAAGGAAAAGATATAAAACCGAATGAAAAGTAAATCAGCAAGCTTATATAAAAAATACATTCAAATGTGAACGTTGCAGCTATAGAGCCTTTGTCGGCACTTACATAAATCAAACAAAACCACATGAATACACACAATCTCTTAAATCATATCCAGATGCAGCCATGTGGATGTCTTGCCAGTGCAATGAAAAGAACACACTAAACCAAAGAAAAAATACCCTGTAGAATGCCAAGGGCTGTAACTCGAGAATTTTAGATTAAACTGTGTTGACAGTTTAGTCTTTTTTGGTGTTAACGCTCCCAAAGTGTAAATAAAGCGATTTTCAAGAGACCTGCGGACTGTCGCTGGAGTGGCTAGATTTAACAGCTGTCATACCCATGTCGTGGACACCTCCTTTGTAAGACTGTTTAACTCTTCAGGCTGTCAGTCCTCTGTAAGAAAGTTTAACACTTCAATTCTTCAGTCCCCTATAAGACTGTTTAACACTTCAATTCTTCAGTTCTCTGTAAGACTTTAACTCTTCAGGTTGTCAGTCCTCTGCAAGACTGTTTAACACTTCAGTTCTTCAGTCCTCTGTAAGACTGTTTAATACTTTAATTCTCCAGTCCCCTGTAAGACTGTTTAACACTTCAGTCCTCTGTAAGACTGTTTAACACTTCAATTCTTCAGTCCTCTGTAAGACTGTTTAACACTTCAATTCTTCAGTCCTTTGTAAGACTGTTTAACACTTCAGTTCTTCAGTCCTCTGTAAGACTGTTTTACACTTCAGTTCTTGAGTCTTCTGTGAAACTGTTTAATACTTCAGTTCTTCAGTCCTCTGTAAGACTGTTTAACACTTCAATTCTTGAGTCCCCTTCTGTAAAACTGTTTGTAATGCTGTTTACTTCAGTTCTGTAAGACTGTTTTAACACAATTCTTCTCCTGTAAGACTGTTTAACACTTCAATTCTTGAGTCCCCTGTAAGACTGTTTAACAATTCAATTCTTCAGTCCCCAGTCATACTGTTAAACACTTCAATTCTTCAGTCCTCTGTAATGCTGTTTAACACTCCATTCTTGAGTCCCCTGTAAGACTGTTTAACACTTCAATTCTTCAGTCCTCTGTAAGACTGTTTAACACTTCAATTCTTCAGTCCTCTGTAAGACTGTTTTACACTTCAGTTCTTGAGTCTTCTGTGAAACTGTTTAATACTTCAGTTCTTCAGTCCTCTGTAAGACTGTTTAACACTTCAATTCTTCAGTCCCCTGTCATACTGTTAAACACTTCAATTCTTCAGTCCTCTGTAATGCTGTTTAACACTCCATTCTTGAGTCCCCTGTAAGACTGTTTAACACTTAAATTCTTCAGTCCTCTGTAAGACTGTTTAACACTTCAATTCTTCAGTCCTCTGTAAGACTGTTTAACACTTCAATTCTTCAGTCCTCTGTAAGACTGTTTAACACTTCAATTATTCAGTCCTCTGTAAGACTATTTAACACTTCAATTCTTCAGTCCTCTATAAGACTGTTTAACACTTCAATTTTTCAGTCCTCTCTAAGACTGTCAAACACTTCAAAGACTGTTTAACACTTCAATACTTAATTCCTCTGTAAGAATGTTTTAACTCCTAACTCTGATGCATTGATATCCAGGTCACCTTATAGGAAAGCTGTATTTGTAAAACAGTTTCTCTGTGACTTGTTGATGATAGTTATGTTGTTGAGTGAAAAGGTGCAATGGACATGCAAGAATCCTGACCAGAAATGTGTAGGCATGATAATGAATCATCTTTGTGACTTTTTGTTTTGTTTTTTGTTGTTGTTATTGTTGCTGTAATAGGTTTCTTCTTCTTCACTTCCTTTGTTGCTGTTTCAGGTGTTGAGGGAGATATTAAGTTCTGCTTCTTGCTCTTCTAGGCACCTCAACCATAGACACATCGTGCTGTTGTAGAGTTTCTTTGATGTTTTCCTTCCATCTTGTTCTTGGTCTGTTTTGGTACCCTATGTCCTTCTCCTCTTTTAGTGTATGCCTTGTATGTTTTGGCATCAAAAGGCATACTTTCTAAATGGGCTGACCATTTGATTTGCTATCTTTATGTATATTTAGAATTGGTTCTGTGTTGACGTTTTCTCTTATGACTTCATTTCTTATTTGATCTTTTCTGGTCGTGCCTGCGGCCCTTCTCAGTCATCTCATTTCAGTGGTTACTAATTTCAATATGTTTCTAGAAGTGAATAATATGGTAGTTACATCATGGGGTAGTTTTCTCTGGATTTCCATACCTGCGTGGCTGTAAACTATAGACTTAGCTTTTAGCAACATCTTTAGCTGTCAGGTAAGTGGGCAACTTTCTTGGGAGGGGGGGGGGGGGGCTTTGCTAACAGCAGGTGGCATCCTAGAGGTTTCCACATATACCTGGTTTCCAAAGTTGCATTTGCTACACACTGAGATGCATTTCCCATCCTTTACTGAACCAAGGTGCAGCTGGGGTTTCCCCTTTGACAAGTTATCCCAAACTCTCTGGTATTTTAAAAGAGCTCTGAAACAATCATCCACTTGTGCCATTATATCACATTGGGTTTGTAGTCTATTCCTCCATTCCGTTTTATCCTACCAAGCTGAATCATGATGGCACTATTTTACCTTTTGATAAAGTTTATTCCTATTACTTTATGACTTTCAAGTTGAACTTTGAACTGGTATGCATAACAAGTTGTGTTTTCTGTTCTCAGGCAACTGGAGTCAGAGTGGATACAGCAGTAACAGGCAGTCTGTGGATTCTGCGAAGTCCAGTGTTCCCTCCACCATGTCACAGTACTCCCTGGGGAAGGATTCTGGCAGGGACTCACCGCGGTCTGCAGGAGAAAGGTTGGTGATACTTGTCATCTGTCTGTTAACTACACATCACCTCTCTGGTACTTAGGTATCATCTCTCTGTTATCTAAACTTCTTCACTCTGTTATCTACACATCATCTCTGCTATCTACACATCATCTCTACTATCACACATTATCTTCTATCACACATCATCTCTGCTATCACACTCATCTCTGCTATCACATATTATCTTCTATCACACATCATCTCTGCTATCTACACATCATCTCTGCTATCACATATTATCTTCTATCACACATCATCTTCTGTCACACATCATCTTCTATCTACACATCATCTCTGCTATCCGCACATCGTCTCTGCTATCACACATCATCTCTGCTATCTACACATCAGTGTTCTGCTATCTATACATCACCTCTCTGCTATCTCTCCCAGTTAATTTCTAGATTTTCTGTTTATCTCTTTCTTAGGATTGCATATAATTGTTTATTTTCATGTTTTTTCCCCAGGCTGTTTTTGTTAGTTACTCTGGCATTTGTGATGCTGAACACATTAACATTAACTAAAACTGATGTGTCCAGTCTATTGAAAATAGAAGACGCTGACATAGTTTGAAGCCCGTTAAATATTTTGTATAACTACAAATTAATCAGCGGTACAAATAAACACAGAACTGACATAACTATTTAAATAGTGATATCAAAAGTTTGTACCACGAAGTCTAATAGCTTGACAATTAGAAGTGAAGAAATTCAAATCTAGCCCCATTTCTCATAACTGCTATTAAGTTGCCAAATTTTTTTTAACGTTTTGCTTTTTCGCCACATTTTTAAAATGAATGCTTCACAGTTTTTAAAACCATAACATATAAGATAAAATATCTATGCTATGTTTTAAAGCTTTAATCGTTCTTTTTTTCTTTCTTCCATGGCAGAGATGGTCTGGACATGGGTTATATGGGTGATGCTGCAAGCACAGAATCAATTTCTGACACAAAATCTTTGTCGAACACGGACAGTGATGACTGGATTCGTTCACTGGCCGAACAAGCAGCCAATAGGGGTGATGTAACTTCTACCAGTGCTGAAGCTTTAGCTAGCTTGTCACGGCTGACAAAGCAAAATATTCGGAACTTGGATATTTTAATTCCTGGTCGAACACATTTACGCCAGAAAAGAAATGAACTTGAGGATGATGGAGAATCGTCTGTTTATTCCATTGATTTCTGGAGGGGTTTTACACATCTTTCCACAGTGACAGTGGCTTGAAGAGGAGCACCAATACCTTGTTAGATGATGATGATGAAGATTATGACCTAATTATGCCAAGAGTTAGAGAGACAAAAAGCTTACAGAGTGTTATAGGTTATAGTAGCATGAGGAATGGCAGTGTTTTCACAGATTCATCGTCTGCTGTGTCGGCACCAGACTTGGCATCGGTGTCATTTGGTAACCTACCACTGCCCAATATCAGTGAAGATGATGCGATAGATGTCAACTTCTCTGAAGATGTTGCAGGAGAAGTTGAATATGGAAACAGTGGAACTCTTAAAGCCAAGAAGAAACAAAATAAAACGAAGAAAGTACCTCCACCACCACCTCCACGAACAACAAGCGTCAACAGCAGCAATAATCAAACACAAAGTGGAAGTGATGAGGCCTTGAACAGTTTAGATGACAGTCCAACCAGTGTAGAAACATCTTCAGAGTCCTCAGATCACGAAACTATCTATGCCAGGCTGAAAATGAAAACGAGTATTTCTGCTCATACTTTTCCTTCCTGGTGTGTTGGTTTAGCTAGCGATGAAGATGAACTTCAAGACCGTCTCCACGCAGAATCGTCTGAAGTGGAAGAACTCTTCTCAGGAAAAGACAGCTGGATTTCAGGAACTCTACCTCGAACTAATGCAGTATCTCATCCAAATGAGACTGACCAGGCAACCAATTCTTGGCCGAGAATCAAGCGTATAAACCCACAACAGTCAGGTATTCTAAAAACCACTGAGAAAGATAAAACTAAGCCTGCCGCAAGTAATCCAAAAGTCTTGAACTTTGACCCGGTAGTAAATCTTTTTGATGCCACATCACCTCATAGTGTTCAGATGCCACTGTCTCGGCTGTCTTCATCTGATGAAAGCAGTTCACCAAGTACTTATACATTTGATTGCTCATCTCCTGAGTGGCAAGCACTCTCAACCGCCATCACTTCTCGGTAACCACAGTGTATCTAAACCAAATTCCTACATCAAAGATATGGAACCCTGTCAAACAGAAATGTAGCTTTTCAATACCAACCAACCCTTGTTGGCAAGCATGGGACAACCAGGCCTCGATCAATGGTAAGTTTTTGGATCATTCATTTCCCCATTGTGGGTTCCAGGGCCCCATTCTTGGAGGGTGGGGGGGAAGTAGACCCACTACTTTCCTAACAAGCATGTCATAAGAGTCGACTAATTAGGGGTTTCCTTCAAAGTCAGAGTGCATCTATCTGAGAGGCTAGGAACCAACAGACATTCGAGAATTTTGACTTGTTTGGATGGTCAATTTTTTTTAAACTGGCTAAACTTATTTCAGATATTAACTCTTTCAACCCCATAAGGTTTTGTAGAAAAATCATTATTGTTTTCCATTAAGTATTGCCACAAAAATGCTTAACAAGTTACTGTTTGTAGGATTGTAAAATTTATTAAAGATATCCATGTAGTTGCCAGATTTATTTAGTATTTACTGAGTAAAACTTAAATATAAGACACTTGATCTGATGTTTGAGGCATGGGGAATAGCTAGTAACACATCATCCATTGTTTGGGACTGAGAGTTTAAATGAACTTGTTAAAATCCATATATAGGTGAATAGGAGATATGAAATGTAGTGTAGATATAAAACATGAAATGTAGTGTAGTTATAAAATATGAAATGTAGTGTAGTTATAAAATATGAAATGTAGTGTAGTTATAAAATATGTAGTAGTATAAAATATGAAATGTAGTGTAGTTATAAAATATGAAATGTAGTGTAGTTATAAAATATGAAATGTAGTGTAGTTAAAAAATATGAAATGTAGTGTAGTTATAAAATATGAAATGTAGTGTAGTTATAAAATATGAAATTAAGTGTAGTTATAAAATATGAAATGTAGTGTAGTTATAAAATATGAAATGAAGTGTAGTAATAAAATATGAAATGAAGTGTAGTTATGAAATATGAAATGTAGTGTAGTTATAAAATATGAAATGAAGTGTAGTTATAAAATATGAAATTAAGTGTAGTTATAAAATATGAAATGAAGTGTAGTTATAAAATATAAAATGTATAGTTATAAAATATGAAATGTAGTGTAGATATAAAATATGAAATGTAGTATAGTTATAAAATATTGAAATGTAGTGTAGTTATAAAATATGAAATTAAGTGTAGTTATAAAATATGAAATGTAGTGTAGTTATAAAATATGAAATGAAGTGTAGTTATAAAATATGAAATGTAGTGTAGTTATAAAATATGAAATGTAGTGTAGTTATAAAATATGAAATGTAGGGAAGTTATAAAATATGAAATGTAGTGTAGTTATAAAATATGAAATGTAGTGTAGTTATAAAATAGGAAATGTAGTGTAGTTATAAAATATGAAATGTAGCGTAGATATGAAATATGAAATGTAGGGAAGTTATAAAATATGAAATGTAGTGTAGTTATAAAACAAACAGTAGTGAGAACTTTACAAACTAGCTGTAAAATGTGATCCTTGAGTTTCACACACTGCATCATGCAGACAGAAAATACTAAAAGTAAATAAATTTGACTAATAAGGATCTACACAGTCAGAGGGCATCTGCCTGAGAGGCAAGAAAGACCAACAGTCTGCATACAGGCATTGCCAGGCCAGATCTGTAAAATAGATATGCACACAAAACTTGAGTTTTGGAACAAGAGTAAAATTTAGAACTTGGCAGACAACAGCCAATAAACTTGAAGAAGAAGAAGAAGAAGAAGAAGAAGAAGAAGAAGAAGAAGAAGAAGAAGAAGAAGAAGAAGAAGAAGAAGAAGGAGGAGGAGGAGAAGGAGAAGAAAAAGAAGAAGAAGAAGAAGAAGAAGAAGAAGAAGAAGACACATAACAGATCAGTGTTGAGAAACACAAACTTAAACAGAAATATTTTCTGTTAGTCTGAGTGGCAGTACACTTCCTGGCCATATTAAAAAAAAAAGTTATACTAATACTTCTTTCTTTTCTGTGCGCCAGTTGACTGTTATATCTTTTGCTTTTGGGGACACATTGGTTCATCATCAGAACTAGACTCTTCAAATGGCTTAGAGGGAGCCTTTTTTTTGTTTTGTTGTTGGTATTTTCTTTTTTCAGCTCCACATAATTTTAATCAGTCCTGTCATTTTCTTTAATTTTGAGCCGCACTTTTCTGGAATAGAGGGTGTGGGTTTTAGAAATGTTGCATGATTGCTAGGATGCAGAGGAACCTTTAAGATCCTCTTCCCTGCCTTCAGGTGTATTGGGCATATAGAACTAGACCTATACTTTATAGACCAATCACCACTCTGTGTGTCAGTGTGGTCAACAGCATGCAGGCCACCTTTACTTCCCAGGACACTACCTGGTACCTTTTAACCCTGGGTTGACCTGGCAGCCAATGTCTTTTTTTGAAAAAAATTCCCTTTTTTTTTGGATTCGAACCCATGATCTTTGGATCCCCATGTGAGCATCTAGCTGCTACACTGTGGCAGCATCCCAGGAACACACTAAACCAGTGGTTCTCAAACTGGATGCCATGGCATCCAGGGGTGCTGCAAGCATATTCCAGGGTTGCCGCGGCAATAATAAAAAATCTGTCAAAATCTGGCTTGAGATCAGAGAAGACAGCAGTTTAAAACAGAAATTACTATGAAGGTAGATGACAGAGCAACCATTTGTTTTTACTCAACTAGATCTGATATTTGTTACACTGGCCTGTGGTAACAGTAAAAGATGAACCTGTCATGCACGGATAAGTAACCTAGTGTGTTTACAGATAAGGCATTATGAGTCCGGTCAAAATGGACGCTAGTTAAAGGCACTGTTTGAAGCCGAGGCAAATTTTTTGCTATTGCCAGACGGTTTCCATTCCTCCATTTGTAGACTGAAAGTATATAGTTTCGTTGCCCCACCTTCTGAGTTGGAATGCATGGCGTGACACTGTGAGCTGCGGATTTCATTTGGAATGTTTTTTTGACTGTGACCAACATGGTGGTGTGAAATGTAGATTCAGAAAATGGTGCGATGTCGGTTATCGCAATTTTAGTGGTGCCCTTATGTGATTACAATTTATCGCATGTGCAACTGCTGATCTTTTGGTGACTTCTGCTACCATCAATGATAAACTGCATTTCTAATGTTGGACAGTTTGTGTTAGCATTTCGGATGGCTACCGTATGCTTTTAATGCGTGTGAATGCTATATATGCTGAGAAAGCAGTCTGTCAATCTTTCCACAAGGGACTGATAAACATTCTGTGTGCTTTTTCATTGGCACTGGAGCGGAGCAATGATGGGGTGACCCATTAGCTACAAAGCTGAAACTAAGACTACCAGACTACAAGTTCTTTGGTATAGAAATAATGGACATGTTCATATTTAAACTGTACTTGTTCTTCTTCATGTTCACTGGTGGTAAACTCTAGCGGAAGGTTCTGGTCTTGTTCCAGAACTTCTTTGTATGCACATACATTTTGCAGATCCAGTTTTTTTTAAAATGCAGACTGTTGGTTTCTTGCCTTTCACTGCACTCTAACTTTGACACACTGATTAGTAGACTTTTATGACATGCTTGTTATGAGGGCAGTGGGTCTGTTCTTTTGCCCCCAAAGAAATTGAGCAGGCAGATGTACTGGCCGGTTCTGCACCACATGGTGGTGAACTGATGTATGACAAGCTGGATGTTGTGAGGGCCCTTTGGGAGCCAGTAAACAGTACAGAGGAACAGACAGATCATTACAGTCTGAGGAGAATGCACTGCGAGGAGTTACAAGGGGATCTGGCCGACTTTTGACACTCAGGGAAAAGGCAAGACAGATATACAATCAGACAGTTACTGGTACCATCAGAATTTTAACTCTTCACTTGCTGCTGAAGATGGGGGCAGAGCACTTATGGGGGTGTCCTTAGTGCTGTAATGTCGATTCTTAATTCAATATTTTGCCCCCAAAATGATGCCACAGCCACATGGGGATAACTAAACCATAACTGAGCAAAATAATTTACTCATGGTTTCCCAGCCTACATTTCTCTTTAAAATGTGTGTAATATGAATATTTTTTTTAATAAACATGTAATTTATTTCTCTCCTTCTGTAACTTTCAGGTGCTGAACCCAAATGAACTTGGTAGTTCATCGACACCAGTCCATGGTTATTCCTCAAGCAGCTCTGGAACAACTTATTTAAATTCCGGTGATCTCTCCATACTTCACTCAGTCTCTAACCCCTCCCTCGACTCAACCGACAGCTTCAATGTAACAATGACACCTCTAACAAAACATGACAAAACAGCGAGCTCGATCAACAGCAACAGCACAATTGCTCTGTCAGATATCGACACCTCAAGCCTAACGTATGTCACCATGTCGGATTCTTCGCCTTCAGGATCTTCTTTGTCTCTGAACTGGGATACAGATGATACCCCTAACCCTACACCCTTGGCCACACCAGTGCGCAAACATGCACCCTTCAGTGTATCCAGTTCAATTAATACCACAAACACGGCTCACAGAAGCTCCACAGATATTTGTGAATGACGCCAATGGTACTCAACAAACACAAGTGCCTTCATTACCAGATCATGCCCGATCATTGAATATGTTATCAACAGTATCATCAAACCAGGATAAAAAAGGAGTTATTTGGTCTGATGATTTGAGATATCCATTTTATAACTCGGGATCCACTGAATCAAATCTCACCTCATCTAATCTTTCTCCTGAATCCAGTGATGTGCGTCAATCTTCCACAGTTTCCAAGGCAGCTACAGGTTCCAATATAACCCAGATCACACACAGTGACAAAAATAACAACAGAAGTAAAGATACAAACTTTGTTCATGCTGACTCATTGGCCTTGAAACAGGAATTCAAGAATCAGAGCACAACACACCAGAATCATTCTCACCCGTTAGAGCTCCAACTTCAACCTCCACTTACTGGTGGCTATGTCCGCACAAATGCACCAATATCCCATGGTAATTTCCACCAACTGATGATGAGATCATCTCACACTGACAGAAGACGCTCAAGTCCAAGTGTAGCTGCAGCTGCAGGCTCTTCTAGCTCCACCAGCAACAGTGGAAATGAGGATAGTTGTGAAATTAAGGGCAGCAAAGTAAGTGACTCTGTGAAGCGTCGTCGGAGTGACCTTTATAGTCCTTCAGACAGTGGGTATGGGTCACCGCCAGTTTCTAGTCAGCCTAGTTCTCAAGTTTTTACCTATTCTTCATCTAAGACTCCACAGCAGCAGTATTCTTCTATTGTCCATGCTCAGATACATTCAGCACACGTGCCTTCCAGTTCCTCGATGAATACAGAAACAATAAACAAAAACACAAGAACATCATTCAGTTTTGCCTCAGAATCAAATTCAAGGCCAGATTATCCAAACACTCTCAGACAGATGTCTAATCAATCAACTGAGTCACTTAGTTCCCAGTTTTCAATAAGTTCAACCCAGCAGCTGATTCCCAAAATTCCAAAGACTGATTTGTCACAGCCTGTCTTACACAGGGAGAACTCCACTGAATCTATGCACTCTAATAGTTCTGGTGCCCGGTCAGACTCCTATCGTGTAGCCATGTCAGCAGAAGGTGATGAAACTTCTTTGATTCCTAATAAAATATCAAACATCAGTAACAGTAGCAGCATTAACAGTAACAGCATTAACAGTAACAGCAGTATTCTTAGAAAGACTCGTGGAGAACACCGTTCACAACTTACAAAATCACTTCCAGCTCCAGTGCCTGCTATGTATGCAGATGATGCCGTTGGTCGTGCGGACTCTTATCGTTGCGCAGTCAGGAACACACAGAGCCTGCTTTTTGCTGATGCCTATGGTAGAAACTCTTCGTACAGACTGGCCACATGTGAAGAAGATGTGGTTATCACTGACAATAGAATGGATGCTTGCAATTTGTGGACTGGAAAAACAGGGACTACTAGAGACATGCGCCGCATGGGAATTACCGATGTTGATCAATTGAAACATTACAACAATGAATCTGATGAGAGCGATAAGTCTGGAAACAGACGCAGTTTAGCCAAAATCTCCAACACTGTTCATGCAAAGAAAAAACTGTCGGCACAGACAGAAACTGAAGGACTGATAAACCCGCCAAAGTCTTCATCATCCGAGCACAAACGATTTATGAGACCAAGTAGCAAAGATAAGGCAAAACAGAAAACTCAGTCCTCAACCTATATCAGGTTTGATCCAATCTTTGAAAGTGGGGAGGACTTGAGGGCATCAAATGAATCCTTACGACCACCATCGATAGTTTCAATCAGAACTTTAACTCAAGTAGATTCAAGTGAAACAGTAACTTCTGAAAATACAAGTTTGATTCGTGGAAAAGTTGCTTCTGCATCTCCACCCAGGAAGAGGTCAAGTTCACAAGGAAGGCGAGATGATAAATCAAGTCTTTCCATTTTTGGCAGCATTAAAACTACAATCAGGTCAATTGGTGGAACAAAAGGAGACTAAGTCATAGAAGTGCCAAATTTAATTTTAAAACCTTAAAGTATTTTATGTGTAGAAGTCAGAATAAAACCGAAGCATTTGTCTGTTTCTTCTGTGTTCACCTTTATAAGGGTGGTAGGACATTGTGTTGTGGTTTATATCTAGGCTGCAAATATTTGCACTTTTTAGTCCAGCACATCTGATTTTAACAAACCCTGAATTGGCTGCCTTTTACCTCAGGTTTTGTGCTAATGGGGCCCCAGAATCTAGTTAGGAAACCTTTGATTTGATTGTGAGCAAGCATGAAAATGTTGCACCAGAAATAAATTTACCTTTTAATATGACATCTGATGTGCATAATTCATAAACAAACAGGACTGCCTGTGGAAGAAACATACAATTATAATCATAACAAAAAGACCCCTAAAAAAAATTACATGATAAACAAGAAGACCCAAGAAAAGCTGAATCAAGATCAGAAACACTGATGATTCTAGTGAAGATACAAGTGTTGCACTGTTTGATATGCCCTTATTGTAGTGTCTGCCCTCATGGCTGATCAGCTAAGTTTACTCCAGGGCCAAAATGTTGAAAAGGATGATTATCACGGACCAGAGGCACTGAACCCCAGTAGAGAATGATAATTAATACAATATATTTGGCAATAATATGTGCGCTAGGCCTCTGCGGGCTGGATTTGGCCACCTTTTGAATAACCCTGGTCCACATTAAACAGCTGAAATGCCAAACTGTTTATTGTCATCTGGTGGGTGCTGCAGCAGCAACTTACAGTTGTACTGGTGTTGATGCTGAAGGGAGAAGATAGTGCTGCACTGCTTTGTGATTGATTTCTGTTAATGGACATGCTGGTTGGAAAATGATCAGATCTTCAATGATAACTGTCTGTCTAGCAACTTAACCTCTGACAGATAATCCTTTTCCAAGACTCCTGGCTTTTTTAACTTTAGTCATGTCTGTAGCAGCTGCAAAGCATTCCAAAACTGATCAGTACTATGTGGAAAGCAGTAACTGTTTGCAGAGTATTTTCCTAGCACTAAGTATGTATTTTATACACACACATGTGCGTGCGTACACACAGACATGCACACACAAAAACTGACCAGGTTTCAATAGTATTTGTAAGCTAAATTGGATTAGATTCATATTAAACAATGTAAGTTTTCATAGACATGTTCATTTACCTTTTAATGTTTGACTATTTCCTTCAATTTAAAAAATAAACAGTTCTAGCAGTTTTAAATCAGCTGGTTGCCAGTCATATATCAGTCCCATTTACAACTGACGATGTTACATTTCTTGGCACTTTCATTTTTTTTTTTGGGTGTGTTTTGTATGTTGCACTTTGAAATGCATTTACCTAACTTTGTTAAGCCTTAAGGCTGTTATACTTCTATAAAAATTGTGAGCTTTCTTTTTTTTTTCACTGCTACTGGATTTTGATAACTATTTCCTAATTATAATTTCTCTTTTAGCTGCTTAAATGTGAACTTTTTTACTTCCATATTGTCCTAAATTATCAGTTAAAGCAGATGTTTTCCATTGCTACTTCTTCTTCTTAGGGTTCACCAGAATCCTCTTCACTGCTGTTTGTGCACTCCTGGACTTTGGCCTTGGTCTAAAACTTGAACTTTGCATGCACATCCATTTTACAGATCTGGCTTATATTATATCTAAGCAGACTGTTGGTTTCTTGTCTCTGAGGCAGTTGCACTCTGACTTTGAAGGGGCTGCTTGTTTGAGGGGTTCAGTGGGGGTGTATTCCTTGTTCTCCAAAATGAAGCCCTAGAACCCTCATGGGGAGTTTTTCATTACAGAGGCTACTTTTTTCTAGCAGACGTTAACAGAGGGTTGTTGCCCTTCATTGTTGACAATAAATGACAGTTGCCTCCCATCCTCCCCCCACCCAGTGAAATGTCTTCTTTTAACAGTACAACTTTTCTTTATCTGTAGTTACTGCTCATGTACAGCATACATACTAGTTTTGCAACTTTGTTTTCAATCTCTTTGCATTTTACACACAATTTTAATTTTTTTTTTTTTTAAATAATTTGATGAAGTGTTATGTCTTGTTTAATGGTTTCTTTTTATTGGATGTTATAAATTCTCTTTGTCTCCAGAAATGCGCATACGCACATGTCATATTTGTATATATAAATGCAGATTTTGTGTAAAATCTATTTTTACTATGATTTATTATTTTTCAAATTGACTTCTGTTTTAAAAGTTATCATAAACTCTTCCAATATTTACTTATAACTAAATCTTGCAGCCCATAATTTTGGAATGATTTTTAGTATATAATTTAAAATCGTGTGCCCAAGAACAGCTCAGTTGGTGGCTCTACATGCTGAAGTATGATTGTCGCATTGTCATTAATTTATAAAAAAAGAAATCTTCCATATTTGATTGGCCAGTGTGTTCACCAAGGTTGCAACAAAATAGGAATCCAGATCTCTTGCAATAGATATAAACATACGATTATTTAGTAGAAAAATGTGCAAGTAGAAAACATTTTATTGTATACACCAGGTCTATTAAACAGTTTGTTGATGGACCACAATTTTGAAATTGGGGATGGTTATGAGCCAGTGGCTGGAGCCTCAGCATAGAAAGATCTTCAAAGAATACAACTTAACAGTCATCCGCAAGCCACTTACTAGGCATCTGTGGGCCAGATCTGGACTGCAGGATGCCAGTTGAATAACCCTGGTATACACAAACTATATTCTAATTGTTTGCATTTTTATGTTTTGAGGTATTTTTAATCTTTTTTTATCAAAGGACAGTTTTTTATATAAAAGTTGTGTGCCTTGGTACCCAAATAGTTAATGAACCTTTATGTATAATTTTTAAGTGTACCCAGACCTCAGTTTGAGAATATGTGCCATAAGAATTTGTTTTTACTCAATTTGGCAGCAAAGTATTATGCAATCTTCAAGTAATGTCATTTGTTGATGCCCATGTCATAGTGTACTAGTTCTGCGAGTTTAGCAATTACTTTAGATTGTCAGAGTACTCACACTGATTGCCTGAATATGGCTAATTAAAGCAGAACTGTTTGCACCTAATTACATAACTTTAAGCATCTAAAGTAGAACTGTAAGCATGTTATTAAATAAGAACGGTTCACGCTTAATTACATAACTTTACACATCTAATTAAAGTAGACATATGGACAGCTAATTAAAGTAGAACTGTAGACAACTTATTAAAGCAGAATTTAGCGCATCTAATTGAAGTAGAACTGTAGACAACTAATTGAAATAGAACTATAGACAACTTATTAAAGTAGAATTTTTTAAGCATCAAATTAAAGTACAACTATAGGCAAATAATTACAAGTAGAACTGTAGGCATCTATAAAAAGCCTTTGGTCAAATTATGAGAAGGGAGTTATTTGAGGACATTGTGACAACTGGAAAGATCAGCGGGAGAAGAGACAGATGCCAACAGAAATATAGAATATTATTATACTGAAAGATATCTGGTTTAGAAAGTACTTTTGGGATCTGAATAACAGTCACAGGCAAGTAGGAAGTCTCTTTTTTATTCTTTCGACACATTTCGTTTCTGTGGAAGATGTGACAATAATCATTTCTTCCGTATTTTGTATCTTAAGAACAGAAGACTAAGGGAAATTTGCCTTTTATATTTCTAGCTAAATAAAGCACAGAACAAATAAAATACTTGTTTGTGTTGGATCACCTTCATTGCATATGGATATGATATATTGTGCCTGGTCCTTGCAAGTTAACACCATTGAAGGATGTTTTAATGATCTGTATGCACGTTAGTCTTCCAAGTTTTTGCCTTTATCTGAGATGGCTAAAAGTGCAGCACCCCAATACGGGATCACAGGAAGTGTGCCATCCTCTTATATTATTAACATTTCAGCAACCCACACTGTGAATTATACCAGACCTGTTCTAATTAGAGGTGAATGTCTTTCTGAAAATCACTTTAACTTTACTCAAAGCCACTTCACCTCTTTTTAATTTCTTTACAGTGCAGTCACATTTAAACATTCATTTTCTATCCTAAAATAAAACATCTGTGTTAATTTTATTACATGTCTTGTTCCTTAAAGATTTAGTAATTATGAAAATTATATTTTTATACAAACAAAATGAAACAAATTGTACATAATGATATTTATTACAAGATAAATGTGCAAGTATTCACTTAGAGACAACTGCTGTTTCATTGAGTATTGCTCAAAGGTTAGTTTCAAACAGTGTTTTCCAGTTGTAAATTTAAATACTATGGACACAAACAATACATTGCACAGTTTATTGTCTGATATATTGTTTTTATCCAGATTATTTAAAATTTATTTGTTAATTTCTAATTAGAAACCACAGAGGATTATTCTGATTACACAAGGGATCATACTGAAATGATGAGTCACATAACATAGGATTAAACTAAATAAATTATGGATTAGATACAAGTGTGGATGTCAATCTTTTAATTCTGAAAATACTTGTTTGAAAATACAGCATTTTTAGTTGAGAAAAATATTTAAAATCCTGGCCTTCACACAGCACTTTTACAATCAGGGACAGTACTTTTCAAATTTAGTGCCAAATATTTCCAGCCGAACCCAGTGATGGTAAAGAAATGCTAAATATTTTTTCTTCACAAATTTCAGCATAAACACTCAAGGATCCTTAAAATGCTTGTTTCACCACACAGTATTTTATTCTATGATTATTTAAAAATTCTAACAACTGCAAGGTTAATCATTTGGTACCACAGGATCAGACTGTTTATACATGATGGCAGGAATTACATTATCTGAAATAACAATAAGTATTTTTCTTCTAGTCCATGTATTTTTGGCCATAACGTTCTGTCTCATGTACTGTCAATTGTTTCCGATACAGATATTCGTCTATGCCATGATGCCAAACCAGTAGACGTACAACCAGTCAAACCCATTGGGTTGAACAGGATATTACTTAAAATCATAAAAATCATGGCACGATTATGACAATTTGTTA